CTAGAACTTCTACCTAAATGTTCCCCTATCTACAGAGAAGTTAGCATCATTTGATGATGTAAAAGAAAGTTCCACTGGTACTCACACAGTCTAGTGTAAAAGTAAATCTCTAAATTAAATGCAAATTTAACTAACATAGATTATCTGTGGTGACTAAAGTGTTTAAAAACCTAAAAATAAAAAAAATGAAAGTTGTGGAAAAAAAATACCATGGAGGATCTGGACTCTTTTGAGGACAATGTAAGAGACTAAGAGTAAGTTACACAAGCAGCGTTTATCAGGGGCCTCTGATATCCCAGGCCCTGGGCAAGCTCTGTAACAGCCCTGGCTTCTTTAAGAGCTGAAGCAGAAAAAAGATTCTATTTGGAAGCAAAAGACAGGGCAGCTGCAGCAGGAGAGTGAGTTGGTGGGGCAGCCTCAATCCAGGCCTTCTGAACAAACAAGGCACCTGTTCGGGGGTTGAGAAGTGGGGGGACCTGCCCTGGCTCAGGCACCTTCCCACTACCCAGGCTCCCAGCACTTCTAGTTGGACAAAGGAGCCTTCTCCACAGGCCTAAAGCAGAGTGTCTGCACAGTCAGAGCCTGTGATACCATGGGGAGGGCCTGCTAGACTTCTGGATTCCAGAAGTCCCAGTTTGTCAGGCTGCATTCCCCAGGGAATCACTGGTTACATTCTAGAATGTCAGACCCTCAAAGTGTACACCAGACACAGTATGAGGAACAAGGGCTTTTGATGAGCTGAGTCACCATTCACAATTGTGTTTCCACACTGAAGTACAGAATTCCAAATTATCAACTCACAGACATTCTAGAACATTGTCTCTTCACAGGCTCTCAATTGCAGTGTCCCCACCCCCATAAATTGCTGCTTGATTGCTGCACAACAATCTATAAATTACCCCAGGGTACTTTACTTCCCTTCCAACTATACTTTCAGAAAATCCTGTGCCTCTGAATAAGCAGCTCCATGGGGTCATAGACAGGAAAGAGGTACACTTATTTCTCAGTCTCGTTTTGGGTGGGCCTCTGCGGACCAAACTTGTGCCGTCCTGGTCTTGCTTAGGTAACTCTCATTTCCCACCTAGTTTTGGGCAGTTAATGCCACTATATTCACAAGTAATTGACCCAGCACTGCAATGATACCTTTGAACTCAAGGCTCACGGTGGACACTACCAGATTTTTGCTCATCTTTTCCTAAGAAACATCAGGGGCATTGCCTTTCATGTCCAAACTCAATCTACCAGACAGAGCAGGCAGAAAGCCACATGTCCAGGGCCTCTGGGTGGTCCATGGACAAGAAATGGGACTTCATTGGTTTTGTTTTCTGATGTTCACATTACATAGAAGGGAAGACTGATCCTATGTTTTGTTGACTGAGACAACACCCTACTAGTCTGAGTCCTCCACCCAGAAAGCGTATTTGCTCAGTCCATACTGAGCAAATGCCATGCCCTTGACACAAGGCAGCCTCTGCACTGCCAGGTGGAGGGGCCCAGCCCCCATCCCAGGGGCAAGGACAACCCTGTAGTCCTGACCACTCACACAACACAGAGCTAGGGTGAGGCCCATGTCAGAAAGACTCAGTGCGAGGACTTGGTAGAGAATCTCTAACCCTCAGGGGAAAGGTAGATCAACAAAGGTGCGTGTGAGTTGAGATCCAACAAGGCAGCATATGCACATGTGTGTACACACACACACACACACACGCACACGCACACGCGCACACACACACACATGGGAATGCTGGGAAATTGCAAGGATTTTAAACTTTGAAAGCAAAAAACAGCACCAGGCTAATGCTCAGTCAAGCAGACAAACCCCAATTTACTAACCTACCAATTAAATTAAGGGAAGTTACTAGAAGAAGACTCAGATGGGGTGTGGAGGGGGGAAGTAAACAGTGTTGGGGTGGGCATCCCACCCCACTCACCAGTGAAAATGGAAGGGCACTTTCAGTCCACTATGTCCCATCTCTAAACCGTTCATGTCCTTCCAATTTCCCTTTGACACATGCCTATCAAGAGGTAAGACCTTTGAAAACTAGCAATTAGGTGTATATATTTTAATCAAAAGCTCTTCAGAAGAGATATGGTTTTAATCTAAAAAAATTATCTGATCATTTATCTGTTCTGGAGCAACAAAGGTTGGTGGCTGTACAGGGGTGGGTGAGCTTGTTCAGTGTCGGGGAAGAGGGGGTGGGGTGGGGTCACTTGGGGACCCTTCCTCTCTGGCCCAGGGCTCAGGATGAGCACAGTGCCTGCTTTCCTTTGAAATCATACAACTGAGCAATGTGAAGAAGGGAACTTAGACTCTCTGATTCAAAAAGTCAAGAGACTTGGGCCTCCCCGGTGGCGCAGCGGTTGAGCACTGGGTTGCGAAGCTGCCCGCGGCCTCTGTGGCGCCGGTTCGATCCCCGGCTGCTCCCCGGCCACCAGAGGAGGGTCCCACATGGCACGCAGACCTCTCCTGCCTCCCGCTGCTCCCCTCAGCAGTGTACTTCGGTCCTTCTCCCCGCTCTGGCTCTGGTGAATTCTCTCACCCTCCCGTGCTTCTGACTGTACCCAGTGCATGTATAAACAAAAAAAAAAAAAACAAACAAATAAATAAAACATGCCTCTATAAAAAAAACAAAAAAAAAAAAAAGTCAAGAGACTTTTTGTATAGGCTGGGGGCCTTTAAATTGTTGGCTGAGAGGCACTGAGGGGCCCTCTGAAGCAGCAGGATACCCAGAGCAGGGACCAGGGGTCTGGATTCCCAATACCTGAGAGCTGCTTGGAGCTTTGTCTTACCCATGTTGAGAAAGAAGATGGATTGCCAGGCCCAGAAGTGGGGCTTCTGAGTGGCTTTTTGGGGATATGAAAATAGAGAAGCAATAAGGTTCTACATTTTAGGCTCTAGGTTTCAAAAGGGAAATCCCCCCCCTGCCTCCATCCCCCAATAATGACTATTACCAAATACTCCAGGACTCAAACAGCAATAACTGGAAAAGGATCTGTTATTCCCTTCTGGAGCTTGAGGAGAACAGGGCCAGGGGACCCTTGATTTGGGGCACATGAGTCCCTTCAAAATGGATGTTTGCCTCATGCTTCATTAGTAGGGCAGTGGCTGCCTCTGTGCGGTGAGCAGAACCCACAGGAAAAGTCTAAATTTTACCCAGAAGTCATAATGAACTGATGAAAGAGGAAGTGAGGAGTCGCTGAGAACCCAGGAGCAAGGGTTAGCAGGTGTTGGATGGCGGGGCCTCCTCTAACCCTGAGGGTAAACTGAGCTTTGTTTTCACCATTCATTTTCTGCTGGAATTTGTTAAAGTTCTAAATTCAAAGACTACAGCTGCCATCTGGGGACGCAGAAACACAAACAGCCAGCTCCATTTTATCACAAGGGAGGGGTAAAGAAGACAAAAATAGACACATGAGGTAATCCGTGTAGCAACAGTATGTGGGATCTGGGAGAGGAGGGTGAATGTAATCTTAAAGAAACGAATTCTGACAGCTCCTTTCAGGGGATTTTGAATTAAAAAAAAAATTGAGATTTGTTTAGAAATGACAGACATTTCCCAGAGGGTTAGGAGGAGGCAGGAAAAGGAGTCAGGGATTTAGGGAGTGGGACTTGTTAATTGGAATGTAAGCATCAGCCCTTTTACAGCATCACTGGCCTCTGGGTGGACATCCTGAGCACAGCAGAAGCTCCAGGGCACCAATGGAGTCTGTCGAGGGTGGGGACTTCATGGGAACATGGGGTGGGGGTGCACAGAGCCAGGACCCACAGGCAGGCAACCCCCCAACAGGGCCAAGAGCCCACTCCTTACGGGGGAGGCTCACCTAAGAATGCAGCACGGTTTTATAATAGAAATCTACTGAATTATGCCCTTGGTTTTTTAATGAATGGGCTAAGAAATAACTCTATTAAAAAGAAGGGGTTATGGTTAAAAAAAAAAAAAAAGAGAGAGAATGTGCTTTGCCAGCTCTTCTAGGCAAGGGGCGATTAAGTGGTCTAACAGCCTGGGCAGGAACACTGGATCCCCAAGACGGTGCGAGTCCACACCGGGCAGCTCCAGAAGCATCACTTGGCTCCCCTGGGAAATGTCGGCTTTGCCTAAGAAAAACTGCCAAGACTCATGGATTGGCGATTTCTCCAAAGTAATACAAGGGGTAAGCTTTGTACAGCAAGACATCAAAAACACTGAGTTCCTTCCTTTAAGGGAGTGGTTCTATTGTTTTAGAATCACCTGGAAGTTTTGTTAAAACCCACATAACCAGGATTCGCCTGCAGTTTCTGCCTGGGGGCACCAGAACAGGGCTGAGAATCTGCATTCCTAATGAGGTCTCAGGTGATGCTGCGCTAGAGAGCTGATGTCTTCACCGAAAAGAACAATCCAGGCCCAAGACTGAGCGAGGAGGGACGAACATGGTCATAGGCACTGTCAACAGAGTCTCAAGTTTGATGAATTTGCACAGAAATCACAAATGACACTCTGAAATCTTTGAGGGAAGGGTGAGCACACTTAATTACAGGGGCTGGGGCTGAATCCCCACACGCTGGCTCGTGAGGATGGCTGGCTGGGAGCGTGTCGTGGACGTGGCACCTACAAGTTGGAAGGGATGAGGTTCAGGCAGAGGACGTGCTGGAGAGGGCACGGTTGTGAGTGAGAGGCAGAGTATGTGCGTGCCCGTGTGCATGAGCACATGTGTGCACGTGTGGTATGCTGTTACTGTCATACAAGCACACTGCCAAACAGCACACTGCCAAACAGACAGGATGCCGTCGACGCCAGCTGATCAAGGCTGGCGAGAGGGAGGAGGAGAGGAGGTTTTATTGTAAAAAAGTAAAGTATCTCCAGGCAGCAAAAGCTCCAGTCTCCATGGGGAGGTCTGCGTGCTGCCTCTCGCTGAACTGGAAAAGGGCCTGTGCTTTGGTCATTTGTGAGCAGGGACTGGGGAGAGCGGGTGGGAGAGGGTGTCAGCAAGGTTAGTGCCAGCCCAGAGGCTGCTATACATACCACCCAGATGCAAGTCGATGAGGTCACTGTAATAAGACTCTCCCCAATAGTCTACAACAAGGAATTGGTGAAGAGAGAGTTATTGGATCAGACACCCCTCCATGGCCCCCATATCCAAAGCAATCAATGATCTGAAGCAGAGATACAGCAAAAGGGTGGAGAGGGACAGCTGGAAAGCATGCATCTCTCTGCAGGTGCATCACACACGCTTGCTGTGGCTGTGCAGCTCTGGGGGTCACTCAACACCACGGATGGCAGAGTCATCCACCAGTCAAGTGTGAAGCCTGTTCACACATTGGATTGGTTAGGATAGCAGGCCTGGGGTTTGTTGGGAATCCAGACCCTGCTGGGCCTCCATCTTACCTCCCCAGGAAGACTAAAGTTTCAAGGGCCAACCAGGGGCTATTTACATCCTTAGTCACTGAGTATTAGAAGCCCCAGACTGAGGAGCTGAAGGCAGGATGTGACACTCCTAACAATGCTCTGCCAGAGCAGCAGTCTTTAGGCTCAAAGGCTAGCCCAGGTGCCAGGGACGCAGCCCGGAGCCCCAGAGCTGAGTATGCCAACTCCTTGCAGAGCCACTGTTGATGGGTAGGTCTGAGATGAAGGAGGTCCTGATTCTTCTGGGGTTCAGGTCCCCACTTTGGCCAGCCTTCACTATAAAAGCAGGCATGAGCTGTGACTTTGCCAAAGACCCTAGAGGCCAGCTGGCCACGGGCGCGCCCAGCCTGTCAGGGTGTCATGTCCTTCCCCAGCCTGCGCCCCAAGACTGGGCACTGCCGGGGGCTGGTGGAGCGGGTGGTCCTCACCTTCCCAGAATCAGAAACAAAGCAGAGTGTGACAAAGTCAGCTGCCCCTGTGTCCCTTCTCCAAATCTCACAATCTGAATGCTGATCCCGCAGCTGGTGTGGCAGGTGAGGTCCCCTTCGGGGGCGGACACACGGAAGGCGAAACACAATCCAGGAGGCTTTCAATGTCCACTCAAAGCTGACCCCACCATTTAAGTTGAATCAGGGTTCCATAACAGAAGGGGTGCCCTAGACCAGAAACCACATTAAGTCTTGGTCTTGCCCTGGCTGGAAGGCTCTGAGGCACGTCCTGGTGAGCTAGACAGGCTGAGTTCCACGGGATAGCAGGTCCGCGTCAGAGTTCTTCCAAACACGCTGACCTTCAGACAGGTGGGAAGCCCACCAAGTGGTCAGCCGAGTGCCCTCAGGAAAGGGGCTGACTCGCCCTTGCTGGAGACTCAAGATATCATGCTCAAGAGTAAGAGCTCAGCCAGCAGCAGCCAGACATGGGAGAGACAGAGGAGTAGCCAAGAGCACAGTGTGGCCTCACGATGATGGCCACCAGGCAGGACAAGGCCCCTGGGACTTCGGGCAGAAGGCCAGTCTTGGAAGTGATGTGTTTAAAATAAGAAAAAGAAAATTATATATTTGGAAACAGAGTCCCATGGTAGGAGCCATTAAGTCCTGAGAACCTCCCAAGTGCATCACGGGGAAATCTCCCAACAGGGCAGCCAAAGCTTGTCTTTAAAAACAGCACAGATTTGGGTTTGGTCAAAGGTGTTTTGGTGACGCCTTGAGGAGTGTGGATTAGAACAGTGGCTTCTAAACTGTTCTGTGGGACCTGGGCTTCTTCCAGAGTGTTTCAGCAAGTCTCCCAAATATCTGGTGTGTGAATAGTTTTAACTCGTTTAGTATAAATAAGAGGTCCAAATGTATGCCAACTTTTAACCCGCTGAAGGCCATCAACACCTCACTTTCTGCTACCAGGTAAACTCATTTTGGTGAGAGCCCCTAGGACAGAGTTTCTTCTGCTCTTTTGTGCAAGTGTCTGCACACCCTATAAATGTGTCGGGGGGGAGGATATTTTTCTTATTTATTTAAATACATAGGTGCGCCCGGACCACTGGCCAGCGGACACCCAGGAAAGCCAGTGGGACCAGCCTCTCAGCAGCTCCTGTCACAGCTGGTGCTGGAGCTGGGTAACACGTGTCTAGCTATCACGGCACAGCTGATTTTGTGTTTACAGTGTGTTTGGAAGCTTGTACTGAGATCTTGTCTTTATAAAGAATATGAACTACAGTCTGATTTGTTTGTGATTCAACTCTGAAGATAGTGCTCACTGCTGTCCTCTAAGCATCTAGCATCTTGGGGCCTCCCTGGTGGCGCAGGGGGTTGGGACGCAACCCATGAGGCTGTCCGCGGCCACTGCCGCACGAGTTCGATCCCTGGCCAGGGAGCAACCCACATGGCGCAGCAGACCTCTCCTGTCTCGCCCGCTGCTCCCCTCAGCAGTGTATTTCAGTCATTCTGCCTGTTCTTCTCCCCACTCTGTCTCTGGTGAATCCTCTCACCCCCCACACCTCTGGCCTGTACCCCAATTCTTGTATGCATAAATAAATAAATCTTTTTTTTAAAAAAAGCATCTAACATTTAGATCATTGAAACCACATAGATGCTTCCTGGAGGGCTGTTAAAAATATGCTACTATTTATTGCAATTATCTGTGTGTATCAGACACTGTGCCCTGGGGTGAAATGGATGCTGAGACTTCACACCTACAGTTGCCTACCACACCTGTATTTACAACTCTGCATTAACATCTTAGAGTAACTCCTTTTAATTTTAAACTTGAACATGGCTTTGCTTATAAAAAGGTTTCTGCTGTCAAAAACAAGTTTGAAAATCACTGACTTAGATGACAAGTCATAGGTTTATGAAAAGGTAATTCAATAACTGGAAGGAAGAAATCTGGCAAAAGCCTATGCCCGTCTTCAAGGGTATTATTTTCTCTGACTCCTGGCCAGTTGGCGGCGTAAGTAACGTGAGATACTGAGGCACCGTCACAAACTGAAACTGTACAGCAGACAACAGGCATGCGAGTGCTTTACGTGAGGACCTCAGAGCCTTGTGAGCAGGAGGAGCCAGAAGTCTTCCTGGAGGACTCAACACTATGAAATGCAGATGCATGCCTGCTCACTTATTGTATGTCTTGAGAAATGGATGCCTCACTCTACATTTAGCAGTAATTTCTGGGGAGGCTATGATGGAATGATGATGGGCCCCAGTTCCCTCCAGTATTGTCTGCAAGGAGAGAAAGCAGTTGGGTGCTGGGCCTCTCTGGTGGGTCCGGGCTAGCTCCCTCCAGGTGCACAGACTTAACAGAGGAGGCCAAATGAGAGCCTGCAGGCCTGGAGACAGAACAAGGATGGGCGGGCCATCACAGTTCATTTGGAAGCTGGGGCACGTTTTAGGTCAACCTGAATCTCCACTCCTTGACACAGGGCTTGCCTCGCTGTCCTGGGTTTCTTGGCTCAGAGTCTGCTCAGTGGGTCAAGTTTTTGCATGTCATTTGGTGGCCTGGGCTTTACGCAGTAAGTCCAGCAGCAGGTGAGGGACAAAGTCAAGAACATCTACTCCCTCATTTTCTCCCCATTCCATCTTTTCACCAGAAGATCGTCACTGAGTTGACTGTTAAGTTGCAATTTTTAGGCCTTGAAGGGTTTAGGAAGGAGACCTACTTCTGTGACTGACTCCCCCAACATGAGCTTCAGTCCCACAGAACCCCAGAATTCATCTCAACCCCAGGCACATTATAGGAATTCAGCCCACCAGCCAGTTTTCCAGCAAGATCGATGGCAGCAACGGGCCCTGTTCCAGGCTCCCGCTTACGGCTCGTCTGCAGTGTACAGACAGCCTGCCTGCCAGAAGGTGTTCCGCCCTCTCTCCGTTGCCACACAAGAACAAGGGGTTACTGCAAAATCCAGTCACTGCTTGTTTTTCATGCCCAGTCTGGCGATTTGAAGGCTGAGCTGGAGGCCACAAAGAAACGGTTTCCCCATCCTGAGACTGGATTGAGACTCAGGGACACTTGAGAAAGCAGAGACCAGTCACTCCAGGCCTGAGTTGGGGTACAGCTGCACAGTTGGGGTGAGCCCAGAGTTTTCAAGGTCCTGAACCAACAAGGCTCCTCCAGGGTGACTCAGACATTTCCATGCTTCCCCTGTACCCAACGTGCTGACCCCCACCCCTGCCCTGGGTCCCTTGAGCCCCCTCCGTGCTCCAGAGCTCTGCCCCAGCAACAGGGCTCACTAAGCAATGGCCTCAGAGCCACGCCCCAGTGTCTGCTCTGTGCTGGCTCACCACAGTTCCCCGAGCCTCTCCTGCCTGCCCCGAGTAACCGGCCTCCAGGGAACACAGAGCCTGGCTTCACACTGGCAAATCTGCGTGTGCGTCTGCAGGAGGTGGTGAGGACAACGTGGCATGTCCTCACGTGCTCTGCGTGGCTCAGGCAGGAGAGGGAGCCCGAGTGCTAAAGGCAGGAGGGGGCAGGCAGGAGCAGGTTGGGGGCCCTGCTCGTGCAGTTCTGTGATGGCTCCTTGTGGCACAGTCCCTCATTCCCAGTTATTTTCTCCTAGAGAAATGACGGGGTGGGAGGGGAGCGGGGAGAAAAGGTAGACAAGGCCCAGCGTTTGCCATTAACAGATGAAACAGACTGAGAGGTCATTCTACAGGTAAATGGCAAGCAACAGTGCTGGGCCTGGGGCAGTTGCAAAGAGAGGTGCTTTTCTTTCCCTTTGCTTAACAGGAGGCCCCAAATCTCAGGCACGAAGGGCCCCAGAGAATCCTGCTGGAAAAGAAGCTGAGGTCCAGATGTGGTGCTGCGAGACTAGCCTATGTGGGAGATTGGGGTGTCCGGTGGGGGCTTCCTTCAGGGACAAACATCCTCATAGAGGAAACCCAGACAGTACCTGCTTCACCGCGGAGGGCCTTCTCCACAGCCACGCCTCTTTCCTCCAGCTGCCTCTGCTTCTCCTCCACCTGTTCCAGCTGCCGTTGGATAATCTATGGGACAACAACAGTGTAAGCTGGGCCTCACCTGCTGTGTAGATCCCGGGGCCCCTTATTTGTAAGCACCATGGTGCCTGGGGGCACATCAGCGGAGACACAGGCCTCTCTCTGGAGCAGGAAGAAAGGAAGAAAGGAAGTGGATGAAAACACCTGCAGGAAGGATTTAAGTACTAAGCCCAGGGCCTTTCTATGGTGAGGCTGCTGAAGCACTAGCGGGGGTTCTTAGAGAGTACAGCAGAAATCCTGTCTCTATAAGATAAAAAATTAAAAAAAAAAAAATCTAGAATAGAGCAATGAGCCAGAATCTGCCCAGAATCACACAATGAGTTTCTCTAGGCTCTGGGCGGCTAACAAAGGTACCAAAAGGATGTACCACCTTCTAGCAGCAGCCAGTATAGAGGTCTGTGGAAAATGTCATGCCACAAATGAAGTAAAACCCAGTGACCCAACCAGATAAAGAGAAAAGGACAAAGAGATTGGTTTTTTTTTTTTTTTAAAGTAAGTTTTTTTTTTTTTAATTTTTTTTAATATTTATTTATTTATTTATACAAGCACTGGGTACAGTCAGAGGCACAGGAGGGTGAGAGAATTCACCAGAGCCAGAGCGGGGAGCAGAGCAGGCAGAAGGACCGAAGTACACTGCTGAGGGGAGCAGCGGGCGGCAGGAGAGGTCTGCGCGCCATGTGGGACCCTCCTCCGGTGGCCGGGGAGCAGCCGGGGATCGAACCGGCACTGCACAGGCTGCCGGCAGCTTCGCAACCCAGCGCTCAACCGCTGCGCCACCAGGGAGGCCCAAGAGATTGGTTTTTAATGCCTGACAAGACACACTTCAGCAGAATGGCTTCATTTGTATTTGGATTTGTTGTTCATGTTTCTCATTGTTGTGTAGCTTTTGATCAGCATACTCATCTTTAGAAAGAAAATTCTATCTCATTTTAGAAATCGTATTGTATTTATATTCATATTTTGTGTATATAATTTTTTTTTTGGTTAGATAAAGTCCAGAGTGCATGAGGCCTGCAGACAGGTGAGTGGCCCTCTGGGGTTCTACCTGGGCTCGGTGCAGTCGCTTGAGTTCCTCTTGCTTGGCCTGTCTCCGGGCTGCCTTCTGAACACGCCGGGTCAGTTTGGCATTCAGCTCTTCCTCTGTGTAGGTCCTTGGCTGGAGAGAAGGAGAGAGAGTTCCTCGGTCAGTTGCACGCGGGCTAGAGAGAGGCTGGGGCGCTAAGCGGCAGGGGCAGGGACAGTGCCGTCGCTGAGGCAGAGCCATTCCTCTGCAGAGCGCCGGCAGGTGACGGTGGGCGCGGCTGTGGGCGCGGCTGTGTGGGGCACCTGGCGCTAGCTCAGCTGTGGCTTCGATGGTGCTTGTCTCTGCTGGAGCCCTACATGCCACAGGGTACACCTCAAGATCTACAAGTGAGACACTTCCCTGCTGTGACAGGGACAGGAGGCTGAGTGGGGACCGACTATTAGGAAGTTAAAATGTCAACAGGACACACACTCATGGAGGCCACTATTTCCCATGGAAGGACGTGTGCTCCGCTTACGGTGCTGTGAGGGGAGGAGCACTGGTGAGGGATTCTCAAGCCTCCTGCTTCTAGGAAGAGGATAGGGAAAAGACAAAGAAAACCAGGGTCCTTCTATTTTCTTGCTTGACATCAAAATCACTTCTTCAGATGAGTGATAATGATATATATTATATATATATCGAAAGTCACTTTCTCACTTTCTTCAGATGAGTGATATCTTCTGTGGTGATATTGATATCACTCATTCTGAAGAAAGTGACTTGTGATGCCAAACAAGAAAATAGATGTGTGTGTGTGTGTGTGTGTGTGTGTAGGATTCCGCTAAGAAGTAACATTTGAGGTAAAGAAAGATGCTTCTATTTGAAGTCTGAGTGAACCCAAGCTAATGTATCTGATGAAGGAAATACGGCAGCAGCCCTGGACTGACTGGGTCTGCATGGGAGGCCGCCATCAGTGATGGAGAGGAAGGAAGAAAGGCCTGGTGGGTTGTTTCAGTCAGTGCCTTCAAGAACTGGCACATCCACCTGCAAGTGGGGGCATTAAGGGTGACTGGCAGGGCATGTCGCATGCCTTGAATAAACATGGCTAACACTGAGAGGTAAATGCTGGAGAGGCTGCCTTGGTTCATAAGGCCCTCTTTATTGCTTCTGAGAAAATTAAAAATGGAGACTTTTAAGACTTTAAAGGAGACCTCAAATTTAACTCAGAGTAGAATCTCACAAGTTTTATTCTGAGAGCTTAGGGGATGGCACAGGCCTAATGGAACAGGCAGTCCCTGAATGGTCGGAGGTGTCTTAAGCATCTCACTTGGCAGATCACAGAGTCGAGGGCTCGAGAACTCCCCATTTCTGTGGTGCCCAGTCCCAAAAGGGCTGCCCTGTCCCACCCCAGCCCCGCTCCCCCAGGCACCTGGAGCAAAATTACCACATGCACTCCAGCCTGCAAAGAGCAGGGCCTCTCACCCTCCTCTGCCATGGCACAGCTCTAGAAAGTTCTGCCGCCAGTATTTACTACAGCTCCATGCATGTATGAACACCGTTAGTGAGGACGTGGCTGGAGGGCCAGGCTGGGCTGCTCCGGTGGTTAATCACAGACACGCATGCAACAATGACCAGCCAATGGGAATGAGACACTACCTTTGATGCATATGATCTCCTGAATGCCAAGGCGTGTGGTACATAAATCGACTTTTAAGGGGATGGCGACGGAAAACAAAACAGAATAGTAATAATAATAACAATTTAAAAATTAAAACTAGAACACAGAAATGGAGCAAAATCAGTTAGAAGCTTAAAACAAATACACAGGACTAAAACACATGATTATTTTTCACAATGTCACACAGGACTGCGTCAGTGAGGAGCCTGGGGTTAAGATCCTACCAGCAGCATCTTAGCAAACCTCAGTTTTCAATAAGGTTTGGGCTCGCAGTTCTGCTGAGAAGTCAGCATCTTCCCGACTGTGCCCCGAATCTTAGCTCTTTTCCCTTCCCAGTCTGCCTTGGGTATAGATTAAAACTGTTTCAGTAAATGCTGGCAGACAAAGTGTGTCTCCTTTAGTCTCCATTTGCTTGTGGAAATTCAGATGACTTCTCCCAGCTGCATGCTACAGGGACCTGGGATGTGGGGCAGGTGGTGGTGATTCCTGTCGCCACAGAGAAAAGGGAGTATGAAACCTCAAGTTCTCTCACTAAAGCCTCTTCTGGCAGCGTTTCTCAACAGGGCCAGGCGGGTTCCTAGCAGGCTGCCCAGCAACCCTGGGGCAGAAGGTGGGGGTCATTTCTTAATTATACACAGTAGAAGGGGTCCGAAAAAGCATAAGTAACTGATCTTCACCAAGAACATTTAGGCCTCCCTGGTGGTGCAGGCGGCTGAGCACAGCGCCGTGAAGCTGTCTGCAGCCTCTGCAGTGCGGGTTCAATCCCGGCCGGCCACAGAGATACCCACATGGTGCAGCACACCTCTCCTGACTCGCCCGCTGCTCCCTCAGCAGTGTATTTCAGCAGTTTGCCTGTTCTGCTCCCCACTCTGTCTCTGGTGAACCCTCTCATCCTCCCGCACATCTGCCCTGTACCCCAGTTCTTGTATAAATAAATCTTAAAAAAAAAAAAAAAAAAGAACATTTAGGCCTTCCGTTTAGCCCCTTTCACTTCCTGAGACCAGAGGCGAATTGCTCAGAGCCCCATGGTTACAGCCCTGCTCATCGGCTAGTGGCAGTAAGGGAGGTGGGAGGCGCTGGGGGTCTAGGGGGTGCCCTCCAGTGCGTGCTCCTCTGTGCACCAGCGGGGCCACCACAGTCAGGGAAGAACAAACTTGCCTCCGTGATGGCATGTAACTGGGAGCGCATGTCCACTGCCATAGGCCGACCTCTCCCACCCCGGAGTGGCGAGAGGACAGATTTCAGCATCGGAACAAGTCAAGTGAAACAAAAGGCGAGGAGGGAGGACTCCCCCAGGTAGCGAGTGAAAGCTCCCCAGAAACTGTAACGAGTCGGGCTTGAGGCCTTTACCTGAGGGTGATATTAGAAGGAGGTGGGGAAGCACTTGACTTATTTCTGGGGGAGGGGAGATGCCAATTTGGCAGAGGCAGTGGCCAGAAGGGTGACATCAGGGCACGTCTGTCTTGTGCGGAGTGAGGAGCACGGGAGGGCTGGGAGACAGACATGCATCTGCTGAGAGACACCAAGGCCGTTCAAGGGCAAACGTGCTCTGGGGCCCGCCAGAGGCCACAAAGCAGTGACGCCAGCTGTTTTTAAGTCAGACTGAAGCAAAGAAAGGAGGTACGTGTGCATTACCTCTTGTTGGTAGGGCTACAGGTGTACAAAAAATCTGTACTATCTTAGTTTTTCTAAACAAAGATTTTAAATAAAAATAAGGTATTTTAGTTTTTTTCTAAAAGATGAAACAAAACACAGGTGCTTGCTTCACAGACCATTAGGGATGGTCTCTGATGAAGGGGAGCCCCTTCTCCGAAGTGTGCTGCTGCTCTAGCTGCTGGCTGGGCCCTCCAGAGTCAATTAAACTCCATTTTCACTTTAGGTGCCCCCGGCCCCACACTACTCACCCTATAACTCTTCACTCCTACAGAGAAGTTGAAAGAGGACAATGAAAACCTGGGCATCCTGCACCTGGATTTGCTAGATCTTAGCATTTTAATCTTTATACCATTCCCCTTCCCCTGCCCCCAAATCAAGACCTTTGATCCTAAAAATTTTAGCATGTATTTCCTAAGAACAGAACATTTCCCTACATGACTCTGTCCCTTAACTTGGGAACTTAAACAGGGACCTTGGCATTGATGAGATATTATATTTTTATGCATATAATAATGGTCAAATTTCTAGAACATTCCAAAGTGTTCTTCATGGCTGTTAGTTTTCCTGCGTTAGCTCCCATGTCTGTAAATTCACAGGGCCCTGCTCTTGCTCAGCACACTCAGCAGACACCACACCCCAGTAGGGGTCCAGCCAGGAGCCCTAGGCTCAGATGTGTCCTTACTATTCCCTACATGGCCCGGAGCAGAGGGCTCTGCCTGCGTGGAGTGCACGGGAAGCCTCTGGTTCTGGGATTCCAGGAGTGAGGACCACGTCCACAGAGAGGAGGAGGAGCTCCCAGTGGGGTTTGGGGCTGAGGGGGACCCTCTGGTTAGTGATGCGTGAAGGCCACAACAATGGCCTTGGCATAGCCAGCCTGGGCTGCTGCCACTTGGCATTTTGCCGGAATGGGTCATTAGTTAATCCTGACCACAAAAGCAATCATGGGTGGAAGTTTCGACTGAGAGGATGACCTGCTCAGTGTCTGCACGTCCACACACAGGCACACGCCTTGGACCACATCCTCCTTCACAGATGCCTCAGGACCTCCTCTGGTGGTCCAGTCCCAAACCGAGGTGCTTCTGGACACAAATGTGGGGCCCTAAATACGCCCCACATTTGTGTCCAAAAGCACCTCAGTTCATATCCATGCTTCTGCCTGGGAAAGCATATGGAGCACCCGACCGGAGGCGTGGGGAGCCAGGTCCCAAGGAAGGGCACCTGGGATCCAACCGCAACTCAGTGCAGGCGGAGGGGACATGGGGAAAGCCGTCCTGCAGGCGGGGTCAGGTGAGACAAGAGGCCTTCTAGGAGAGTGGACAGATGAAGAGCTGGAGTGGCCCAGGGAGACAAACCAACCAAGAATGAGATGTGAACTACAACGACTGTTTCCTCCAGTTTGCCAAGTGATTGAAAGCGGGATGGGGTCAGCCCAGCAGGAGAGAACTAGAAACAGGCTGCAGGATCTTCTGTACTGACCATGCATGTGCTGGCTCCGGCCTAGACGGAGCTGTAGCCCCGAGGAAGTCAACATGGAGGGCAGACTCAGGTCCTGGGATACCTTGCTAAGGAGGCCCCTGATGTTTTGGGGGAACTTTTTCATTCCGAAAAGGGAGTTATAGACACTGGAGATGGAGAGGACTTCCACCCTGGTTCCCACCCCTGCACGCTGCCCAACCTTTCTGGATTGCTGTCCCCACCCCAGTACTGCCTTGGGACACAGAACTTTTCTCCATCCCTCTCCCTGCCAAAGCCACAAGGTTTCTTGAAACATAAATGACTGAACACAGCAAGAGAGGTTAGTGGCAAAGGAACCCTCCACACACACCTCACTTTTCTGGAGCGAGGCCCCTGGTCTCCTAAGCCTGGTGCAGATTCCCTAACGCTCAGCACAGAACCCAGGGCAGTTTCCTGGACCTGTTCTCAAGTGGCAAGAAATCCTCTCTGACCCACAAACGTGCAGGGCAGGAGAACCAACAGGTACGTTTCTCAGGGACTAGGTTCCCATCCCAGCCTCCACCAGATCCGTTCAGGGGGCCTGGGGGATGCTACTTCCCTGAGGATTTCTGAGACAACAAGAGCCGATGGACAACACCGCGCTGTGTCCTGGAGACATACATAGCGACACTCTGAGCTGGGCTTCTTTGTAGATCTGCGCACAGGACTCTTGCCATGGAAGCAATTAACCCCAAAGGGTTTCTAGCTGCTCAATGAAAAAGTCCAAAACATCCCCGTGTCCCGCTGGGCTGGGCTTGGCATGCGCAGCTGGGGGAGCTGCCCCTTTCCTTTCACCTCTTCAAAGACCAACACTAAACACGGATGAGGGGCAGGGTGTGGGCCCCTTCGGAAGCCCCGCTCTTGACCGGGCCTACATACCTCTCGCTTGGACTTCTGGGAGGACCTCTCGAGGATGTCGTCGCTGGAGAGGTCCGAGTCCTCCGAGAAACTCAACTGGCGCCGCAGCTGCAGCTCTGGGGGGAGAGGAGGCAGGGGGAGGATGGTGACCAGCCTGTCAGCACCACGCGCACTCCCGACCCACGTCACGCGCGCACAGGGCGGTGGGCGAGGTCTCATCTGTTCCCAGCTCAAGTGATTCTTTGCCCACAACGAGGAGCAGTGGACGCCGACACTGGCCCAGGGGCCGTAGGTGGGCACACTGTGCCCCCGGCACGGCCTGCCCGGTACTGCCCTGCCCATGATGCCCATCTCTGGACCATGAGGCCCCACCAACGCCCATCGCCCTCACTATTTCAAGCTGGTTTCTGAACAAGTCTATTGAGTGGAACACACTCTGGGCAGCCCCGCTTCCCTCCACCTCGTCAGCACAGCGCCTAAGGACCCCGGGGGAGCAGCGAAGGCCAGCGGCTCGTCAGGATACACCTCAGGCTCTGCCCCAGCCGGGCCCTGGTGCCGCCGTACCTGCTCTCACCACGGGAGACAGCCTGTGCTTGGCAGAGTCCACGGTGGCCCCGCTGGAAGGGGTGCTGGAGCAGGACCTGTCGTCCCCCTTCTTCTTCTTGTCCTTCTTGTACCCCGAAAAGACTGACTTCCACAAGGACTTGGGCTTGGCGGCTGCCTCCTCGGGCAGGCTCGGGCTGGGCTTCTCCGGGGGCCGGCCCTCCCCTTTGGACTTCTTCTCTTTCTTGTTTCTGCGGGGGGAGAAGAGCGACGATCTCTTCTTGCTCTTCCCGCTGGAGCCCTCGGATGAGGTCATGGAGCCGTCTGGGCCCCCCGAGTCTGAGGGAGGGGAGAAGACCTCCTCGCTGGTGGCTTCGTGCTTCCGGGTGGACTCCTCAGAGCCTTTGAGCCCCGGGCGTCTGGGGGAGTCAGGGCCGAGTTCTTTGCCCTTGGAGGGCATGGAGGAGGCTCTGCGGGAGGCGCTGGCTGCCAACTCCTGCTCCTTCATCCTGCTCAGCTGCTTGGCCATGGCATCTCTCAACGCCTGGCTCTTGACAGACTTCTCCCTGGCTCGCATGCGCTCCTCGGCCAGCTCCTTGGCTTCTGGGGAGACTACGGGCAGCCCCCTCCTCTGAGGCTGGGCCCCGCTCTCCAGAGCAGGCAGTCTCCCGTTCTCCTTGGCGAGCGGTGGGTGGGGGGGCTTCTCGGCGCGGGCCCAGTGGGAGGGGGGCGTGAAGAAGTTCTCCTGCAGGCTGGAGTCCTCGGTCTGCTCGTCGTACGTGTCCTCCACGTCGTCGGCAAAGGGGATCTCGTCCACGCTCTCCACAAATGACTTCCGCACCTCCTCTCGGGGGGGCTGGGCTGGCTCCCGGGGGGGCCGCATGAAGCTGGGAGGGGGTGGGGGTGGGGTCACCGAGGCCTTGGGCTCTGCTTCTTTAGGCTCCGTCTGACAGGGCTTCCTCTGGAGAGTTGCGGGCTCTTCGTCCTGGGGTGGGGGCGGGGGAGGGCTGGAAGGTGGGGTGAGCATGGTGGAGTCCGAGGTGTTGAAGCTCTGGCTGCCTAAGGTCTTCATATTGGAGGAGCTCCCGTGGAGGCCCAGCCCAGAGCTGCTGGACAGGTCTCTCCGCTCCTCGTGGGCGCTTCTCAGCTCTCTGTCAGATGGGGACTTGGGGGTTGGCAGGGAGGGCGAGTCACCATCCGATTGTGGCAGGCCCAGCCTCTTAGGAGCAGATGGAGGTTTTAGAAGACTGAGCCCCTCACCCTGAAGGGACTTCTCAATGGCAGAGGATTTTAGGGGTGCTGGCTTAAGGGCAGGCGAGGGGAAGCTGGGCTCAGACCCCTTGCCCCGATCCACGGGGGTGAGCCCGAGGCTGCGGCGGATTTCGGCGCTCTTCATCCAGAACTCTGCCACCAGGTCGTTCCGTTTCAGGGCCTCGTCCACAGTGAGAGGGGTGCCCAGCCTGTCCTTGGTGTCTCCTTGGTGCTTGATGAGGGGTGTGGATGTCTTGGCTGGAACAGGCTGGAAGCGTATGGGGGACTTGGTGGGGGATGGGATGGTGGCCTCGGAGGAGGGCTGCGGCTGGGAGCAGATGGGGAACTGGCTGGAGGGGGTGGTGGAGGTAGGCAGTGGCGACAAGTGCTGTGAGCTAACTGGGGAGGTAGGCGTCCTGGCTTCCGGGAGAGCCACGGGCTGAGATCTGATGGGAGAGCTCACGGCTTTCTCATCGGTGGGGGCCTCTGCTTTGGGTTTCTCTTTGGGGAGCAAAAGCTCAGGGAAAAAGCGTTCCTCAGGTGATTTCACCTTGGTAGCAACAGGGGTGAGTGGGATTCCGGCTTCCTACAGACAAGACGGATAGAAGGCACTCAGATGTCAGGGCTTACTGATCAGCACAATACCCCCGGCCTCCCCCAGAGAGCTTCCCCCTAAAGGGGCTGTGCTCACAGAAACAAATCCGCCATCCCTTCAGATTCCAGTGGCTTCAGGAGAGGCCCTCTCACTTTCTGCTGTGTTTGTTCCATTTTTAGAACTGCTCTACTTAGAGAATAGACTTGGCTTCGAGGGCTTGGTTAATCCTGTATTTCTGTGCACTGAGGTGAACTCTGGCCAAAGAACACTAATAAATTCAGCCCTTACCCCCCACCATCAATTCCCTGGGGCCCCAATATCTCCAATGGACAAACATATGGGCCAAACTGAAGACTTAAAATAGCTACTTATTACAAATTGTCCCTCCTGTGTGAATCCTTGTATCTCCCCATCCCCAGTAGCTCAATGAAGCTCCCCCATTTCAGAGATGAAATCAACAACTTCATCTTGCTTCTCAGAATCCCAGAGACACAGCCACACAGGTCCGCGTCTTGGTCTGGCCTCTCTCTCTGATCGGTCCTCAGATAGTACCTCCCAACCACGTTCACCATCTACTTATGTAGCATCTGCCAATGTGTGCTTCACACACCAATGAGAATCTGGATAAATGTTTTTAATTTCCAGTTACACATTCATTTTAATATAATATTAAGAAAAAGGCACCTGACATATTGAACCAATGATTCCACAAGTATTACTGTCTTAGTAATAGATGCGTTTTTAAAATGGTGTGGTTGGGCCTCCCTGGTGGCCCAAGGGGTTAAGACACAACCTATGAAGCTATTGGCAGCCACCACAGCATGAGTTCGATCCCCACCCAGGGAGCGACCCACATGGCGCAGCAGACCTCTCCTGTCTCGCCCGCTGCTCCCCTCAGCAGTGTATTTCAGTCAGTCTGCCTGTTCTGTTCCCCACTCTGTCTCTGGTGAATCCTCTCACCCCCCCACACCTCTGGCATGTACCCCAGTTCTTGTATGCATAAATAATATATCTTTAAAAAAATAAAATGGTGTGCTTGGTGGACATGACAGTGTGGCGCGCAGGGAGGACTTGGGATCGGTACAGGATGGGCGTGGGAGATGCTGCTCTGGTGGGGATGGAGCTAGAACCCCAGGCCACTCCTGTCCTCAGCAGCCTCCCTCAGCACAAGAAGCAAAACAAATGCTTTAGTTTCCCGGGAACAAGGATGCTAGAGGGTTACCTCACCCCAGTCTTTGTGGGGTTCAAGCCAAGGACCCTAAGGCAAAGAGAACAGAACATGTGTACTCAGGGTCTCAACGGTTGTCCCCTACAATGAGCCCCAAACCCTTACCTCTGCCTTGGGGGGACAGACTGGGGAGAACAGAACAGCTTGTTCCGCAGGGGAGCGGATGGGGCTGGAGGCCTGGGAGGGACCTGAAAAGAAGAGACACAGGATTGACAAGAGGAACCTCCCTCACTCCCGCTGAGGGTTCTGCAGTGGAGTCAGCGGCCTGCCAGCCGTGGTCAGACGAGACCAGAGGGAGTGGGCGCTGAGGGAGTGTTCCTACCTCCACCCATAACCCTGTCCAAAGAGCCAGTCAACTTTTCTTCACAAGTGTGACCTGCGTCTAAGCTTTGAGAGGGACCTTCTTCCTTTCACGCCCCAGACGACACGTGGAAGGGGACATTGGCCAAAGGCTCCAGAGGCTGTGCACGGGCAGCGGGGACGGGGGCGGCGGAGCGGCCTGCCCCCCAGAGGCTGCTGTCAGTGCCGCCTGCGCTGAAGACCTGCCTCCTCGGTGCCCGTCTCGTCTGTGCGTGGCTCTCACAGGAATTCTGGAAGCTGTTTCTCCTGCCAACAGACTCACCTCTCCCCTGGTGCTCTGGGGTGGTGAGTGGCTGCTCCTCCTCATTTTCTGATACCCTCAGCTCCAGCTCGGCTTCTGCCTCCGCCTGGTGCCACTGGCGAAGCTGGGTCTCGGCATCCGACGGGACATCGTCAGACCAGTGCTGATCTGGCAGAGGGAAGGGAGGGCAAGGAATGGGCTGTGTGTCCTGAGGGAGGCCATGCCCCTCGCCCAGACCCCACCTTCCTGAGAGCATAGCCCAGCCGGTGCTTCAACTGCAGCGGATCTGGCTCTGTGCCCCCACCCCACACAAGCTTCTGAGTGGCCAAAAGCATGTCATCCTCTGCGACATGGTGTTCTCAGTTCTTGCAGAGTTCAGTTTTCTTTTTGAAATACAGCAACGGTGACACATGACAGGCCATGACAGAAACACCAGCTGCGCCTGTGGAGGGCAGGCCTGGCTCCACGCATACGCCGGCAGTCTGCGTGTCCCTCCCGAGCACTCCCAGCCCGGCTGCCCAACCCACAGCTGAGGCCAACGCTCCCTCAGCCTCCCCTGGATTGTCTTCTCATTCCTCCCCAAACTAGTCCCTGCCCCTTTGCCCCCACCCCGCCAACCAGAGCATAATTTCTAAAATACCCTCTCCTCTTATCTAGCTTGCAGAAGGCCTCTACTGGTTGAGAGACCCTGTAGAAAGCCCCAAATATGCTGCTTCTCCACCACAACTTCATGTGTCCAACAGTGGCTTACGGGCCCCTGAGATGACTCCCCCTTCTAGTTAGTGGCAGGACAAGGGACAAACCAGGAGACCAAATGGCCGTCTCCTCTGCGCTACTTGCTTTTGCTTTAATGCGCATTGTTTTATCTTTCCTGGGTTCAAATCGCTCTTGCGCTGTCCCGCTGTGGGGGACAGGGTGGTCACCACAGCAGAGGGGAGGCTCGGGGGTCCCCCATACCATCATCCAGCTCAGCACCAGTGTCCCCTGTATCCCCATTCTCTGCTGCCTCCCCTTCTATCTCTGCAGGTTCCGAGTCCACATCTTCCTCCAGGTCATGCTCATCAAATGGGACTGTAAAGAAGAAAGGTTCAAGGGAAGAAAAGGAAAGATGGGCAGAGAGACAGCGAGCTTTTGCAAGACTCAGGGCTGAAACGTGGAGCCCATGAGGAGAAGGGAGAAGCCGGGCTCTGAGGGGTCTGGATTTGGACCCCCAGGGTAGAAGTTGGACACGGGGGGCCTCTCTAAGGCAGTGTGTATGGGGGTGGGCTTAGGGCCATTTGAACACACAAGGTTAGCTTTTCTCAACTCTAGAAGGGCCAAGAGGAAGGAGAAGAGCAGTTTAAGCCCTTCCTCGAGCAGCTGTTGCAAGGGCCTCATGGTTGAGAAAGACAGAAAGGGGGGCTCTTCTCCAGCCCAGCCAGCAGGTACCCACCCGTGAAACAGCAGCAATAACGGCTTCCAGTTATCAGGGCTTATCTGCCAGGCCCTGTGTTGAGCACGTCATGCTGCGAGTCATTCAATCCTCATCATAACACAAGTCGAAGGACTCTTGCTAATTCCTTTCTTTCGGTGAGAAAGAAAAACTGTGGTCCAGACAGCCCAGAGGAGCCGCCACATTATGTAAAGGGCCACACAACTTGGCCTGGCAGCTGGTGTCATGTGTCGGGGTTCACTGATGGATGAGGGACCAGCAGGAACCCAAGGGCGCTGAACCTCCTCTTTCAGAGGAGTGCAGCTTCTTTAGGGGACAGTTTAGAGGAAGCCTTTGTGAAGCATAAGGGAGAGGGGTGAGGGGATATGTAAAGCTCATTAACCGGGCTCAAAACTAGCCCCGCAGCAGCACAAAGTGAGGCAGGCACAATGGAAAGCATTTCCCCTGAGCAAGAACCAGCCCCTACACACACACACACACACACACACACACACACACACACACACACACACAAACACCTCTGCACAAGGAGGACTCACACTACCAGTCTGTAGTAAGAGAAAGCAATTAAGAGAGCAGAGGAGCGCTGCTTGGAGGAGGCTGTGGAGCCCAGGCCTGAGGCTAACTGTCCATTCGCTGGACCCAAGGGTTTCTTCTGTGGTTCTAAGCACAGATGCCCTCAAACCATTCCCAAAGGGTTTCCATTCAGGAACAGGGGTTGCGCCTCATTTGCACATACATCATCTTGATGCCCAAAGTCTAAGGTAGGAACCAGCAGCTGCACGGCTGGGCACCTTTAGATGCCACACTGACGCATCAAGCCGGGCGCAGTGTACCATCAGGGTTTCATGGCCCAGGCTCCCGGTCCGCATGTCCAGCCCCGAGGACACAATGGCGAACCTGGCAGGAGCACTGGGAGCGGAGCTCAAGGGCAACTAGAGTGATGTTCCAGAAGGGGCCTCTTTGGGAGGGGGTGGGATGGGAAGAAAGGGTGGGGCGCTCCCAGGATGTGCTGCTGCCTGATTTCTTGATCTAAGTGGTAGTGATATGAGAATTTTTTTTTTAATAATTCCTTAAGCTGTACCCTTACCTTACCATTCCTTTTGCATACTCAGTTTACTGAAACTAAAGTGGTGACTCATGTCCAGCTTTTGGAGAACTATACAAGTAGGTCTGGCATGGACCAGACAATCTAGGTCATGGGGGGTGGGGAGCTCCAGCTATGTCCCGGCTGGCAAGAGTTAATGTCCTGTTCCCCCCGAGATACCAGAGCAGCTCACAGAGCTGGTGATGCTAAGACATTTTGCTAGGAAGATGCTATCTTCTGTGCAAAATACTGGGGGAGAAACTACTCAGTTATTTCTCTAGGTTGACTCCTGGTCACTCAAGGCTGGCTCATGCCCAAGAGTGGAATTCTGAGGCACACAGTTTTGGGGCTCCCCCCAAGAGCAGTCTCAGGGCTGCCCAAGCTCTCCCTCTGGACAGCAAGTCCTCAGTTGCCCCACACCATTCCTGAGAAAGACAGACAGGCGTCTCTTCCTCCCCCAGAACGCTCCTCCCTCACTGTCAACCCTGCCTGGCCATCCAGGGCCAAGGCCTGGCTGGACCCAACCCATGTCCCGGATGAGAGCCAGCACCGGGACTGGGGACACTGACTACGCTTTCGCTGGCAAGTACACAGGAAGTGAGGACACAGGAGCCATCACACAGGTGTATGGCACCACCCAAGGCACACTGACCCCTGAGCCTCAATGACTTTCCTACTTAGAGTTTCTCAAAGAAATAGCTGCTGTAGAGTCAGAAGGAGAAGTCTACAGTTCTCGGGAACACCTTGAAAGGAAAAATTGTCACACATATCAAAAAACAAGCAAGTGTGAAATATCAGTGCAGCAGCAGCAGCTGAAAGAGCTATGGCTTGGGGGGTGGAATTGGGATTAAATTGAGGTTAAGATGGGGTGCGGGGTGCTGGAAGCTGCCACAAGCTATGGAAGCCAGGAATCGCTGACATACTTAGCTTTGGGTTCATTTCAGCTGCCAGCTAGGAAGTCCTGACACCCAGACTTGTCCACCTATCCCGGGGGTACAAACTGACCAGTTAAGGGTGACCAGTCGCTTCTGTTCACAGAGCCAAATGCCTCAGGTTCGGCTCTCCCTAGTGTGTGGGGTACCTCCTGGCTTGTGTGTGAGGACAGTGGGATGGGCTGGTGAAGGGGCTGGTGGTAAGGACCCCTGAGCACTGGCCCTGCCTGGCCCAAGAAGTAGCTGCCAGGACAGTGGCAGGGGCGAAGCTGCCCTTCCTCAGGGGTGCTTGACAGTGTGTGGAGGCCACATTACTGACCTTGCGTGGGCACAGGCCGGGGACATTAAATGTCCCCAAGGGAAGCACTGTGCTGCCAAATATGCCAGCAGCCCCCTGTACAAAACACCTCTCCAGAAAGGTTTAGGGGGGACAACTAAGGGTTTTCAGTTATCTCTTGGCTTTAGCTGAGACTTGCACCTCAGTCTGAAGACCCAGCTGCTGTGACCCTGGTCACAGCCAGCCTGCCCCTCTGTGTTTAGCTGAACAAAATCCACTAATCTTCTGCTCTCCCTTCTCCTCTGATAAGCTGGGCCTCCACGAGGCCCCCTAAGTACTGCTTCCTTCTCTGGTCCTTGGGTTGGTTGGTGGAATACTCACTGTCTCCTCTGCTTCCACACTCAACTACTACCCGGCTGGATGTCTACCGACTTTGTATCTCAGAGCTAAAAGTGTTCCCTCAGCTCGTCCTTTAACCGACCTCTGCTCTGTGCCGCTGCTTCCTCGGGACCTTCCCTGAGGGCACGGGAGCACTGGCCCATGCAAGGAGGGCTGCGGGAGAGGCATGCACGTGTCCCCCCCACCCCAACCTCGGCATGCACTACGCAGGCCCGAATTCTTGTGTTAAGGTACCAGCAGAGCTGCCGAGAGAGAGTGGTTGCGGTGAGTGGGGGAAGAACAAGCATCACCAGACTACCTCCAGAGACCGTCTCCAGCCAGGCCTGCACTGCCGCGCGGCGTATGGAGGGAAGGTCGGGCACTGAATTCAAAACAGACGATAAATACAGAGTTACACAAGAATAAGTGTTCCGGGGGGCCGGGGGGGGGGGTCCTCCCTAAAGTCCAAAACAGAAGAGAAACTGCGGCGAGGTCACAAGCCAGAGGCCTGTCTGGCACTGCAGGGCCGGCCACCTAGGTGATGGGAATCCAGAAGCAGGAGGGGAGAGCAGACACAGAGGGGTCAACACCGGCCTGGGGCTGCAGAGTTGCTGGGTGTTTCTGTTGCTGCAAAAGTTGTTAACAGAGGTGGGTCTGACATGGTGATTCTAAAGGATGCGCACCGGAAACTTACAGGATGTTATAATGCACCGTTACTTCAATTTAAAAAATGAAATGATAAAAGGAAATAAAAGGTTGGTGAAGACGTGGGGCAGAGGAGGAGCAAACGTCCCATGAAATGCTGAGTTTCACGAAGGCAGAGACCATCCTTTTATAAAGTCAAGCCCCATAGGGGTTGTGGCCCCAGCTGGCACTGATGGAACGTGAAGGTAAGAGAGCGAGACAGAGGCCACGGGACCAGGGTCCGTATTTGAAAGACAAGCACAGCAAGGACAGGAGGCCTGGAGGATGCTACAGCAGCTGCCACAGCCCCCAGTCTCTATTTGTTCTCTTTAATGCTCACTAAGGCCTTTCATTGCTCGCTATTCCATCTTTATCCTACCACGGAACACAGGCCTGACCGAAGCCCTAAAACTGGAGATTATGCTACTCGGGAGACCGCCGTGATATAAATCCCTCCTTAAAGCTTCGTTTCAGTTTGAAATCTGCCTCCCCTATCCCCTGTCTGCCAACACACATTCACACTCAGACACACGCCATGTGGAAAGCATCAGAACATTCTACCAAGTGTAGAAAGAGAAACCCTGCCCGGAAATAGTAGCCAATTCTTGGTTTTCCCAAAGTCAAGTTCATTTTACTACTTTGCATCACTGGAGAAAGAACCTACAGCCATTGAAGCCACAGCGAGCTTTACATAGCCTTGGATGAGAGCCAAACGTGGTGGCGATGACTGACGCCAGGAAAACAGACTGTTCTGTGGACTCTTACTTTTGGGGGCCGGGGACAGCAGACACTCAGAGGGGCGTGGGGCCTTGGGTCTTGAAGAGGTTACCTCTAGAAGTAGAGGACTCAGAGGTTGGTACCATTCTCTCCTCCTCTTTCTCGCGAATGTGCGTCCAGTGCACGTCGGCCTGGATCTCCAAGGGATCCGCGGGATTTATGATCTGCTGGAGCCTCTGTCTCCCGGCTGGCGTGCCAGCGAGGGTTCCAGGGTGCAGGTGAAGGGGATGGGGACGGGAGAGGCAAGGGAGAAGGGGAGTGAGCAAGGAGAAAATAAATAGTCAAGGGAAGGAGGGAATGAGACACCACAGGAGAGGAAACAGAAAGAAAAGTTACAGTATTTACCGGTTTAAATAAGAGGGAAAAATTGAGACTATGTCCTCGCGGGCGGGTACGCATGCGCGTGCAAACACACACACACACACACACACACACACACACACACATTCTACTTGTTCAACTTGATTTAGTCATTTCGAACTTCACATATGCTGTTCATGTCAATGAAGAGAACCAGCCATTCTAAGTCCAAGGCAGGAAGACTTTCTGATGCTCTTTTCATCCGAAACTGCATTTGCAGGACCCAGATGCCAAGTGAGGGAAAAACAGGTTAGAGCAGGCCTGGGGAGGATTGCTCCTCCAGAGTCACCGTTGCTTGACTCTGCTGCCCCGCACAGCGGGAGGCCCAGCACACATCAATGGCTTCTCCTTTGAGACTTAAACGGAGTGATAACAGAGGTGTGAGATGCACTCTGCTGTGAATCGGCTAACTCATGCAGACAGGAAGGTGCTTTGTTGGCACTTTACTCCTTATCTCCTGCAGCTGCAATCCCCCTTCCACAATAGGCCTCATGCTGCATGCTGGACTGCGGGCAGGGACGCAGCTAGGGGAGAGGGCAGAGTTGGGGGGGGGGGGCAACAGCTGGGGGCTAGGGGAAGCAGCTGTTGGTCTATAAGTCCCCAAAGCTTGGGCAGTTCGTGGGCAGGGATAAGATAACACCTCTCTGCTTTTCCTGAGGTCAATGCCCTTCTTTAAACTCCACTGGGACCCCTTGACCCTCTCTAGGCAGCACACCTGGTTCCTCAGAGAACTCATCAGGAGCCCCTTCAGGTTATTCTTGCGGTCAGAGCCCTGGGAATCTGCATGCAGCCCCTGCCCTGGGGACTCCCTCTAATTAGAGTTTGGACCATGCCATACAGTTGGTTAAAACCAAGGGACAGCCAGCAACCTGGGGGTGGGGACACTACAAGAGTGAGGGGGGTGGCTTGTCAGGCAGCAAGAGCAGGTGCCACCTGATCTGAAGGAGCCTGGGCCTCCTGACGGGGCCCCGCACAACCTAGCTGAAGAATCTGGCTTTGGTTTTATCATCATAAGCATAACTTCTCGACTTGGGAGCAACACAAATGTACTATGGACTGAACGTACCTACAAGACCCCCAGACGTGGAGGGACAGTGAGTGGGGAGGGTCCCTCACATGTTCCTTACTGGAGCTGTGGTCGCTACAGACTCAGTGAATTTTCCTAAGGTCGACTGGCCTCTATGGTGCTGGATGGGGCTGAGTCCCACCAAACAGCCTCAATGTCTCAGGACCGAGGAGGATTAAGTCAAAGGACAATGTAGGGCCTCCCCGGTGGCGCAGCGGTTGAGCGCTGGGTTGCGAAGCTGCCCGCGGCCTCTGCGGCGCCGGTTCGATCCCTGGCTGCTCCCCGGCCACCGGAGGAGGGTCCCACATGGTGCGCAGACCCCTCCTGCCGCCCGCTGCTCCCCTCAGCAGTGTACTTCGGTCCTTCTGCCTGCTCTGCTCCCTGCTCTGGCTCTGGTGAATTCTCTCACCCTCCCGCGCTTCTGACTGTACCCAGTGCATGTATAAACAAAACAAACAAACAAACAAACAAACCAGCAAACAAATAAATAAAGCATGCCTCTATAAAAAAAAAAAAAAAAAAAAAAAGGACAATGTAGGCCTGTTCTTCACCTTGTGAGCAGCACAGGGAAAGTGAGTTTTCTCTTTCCTGTTAATAAATGTAGCCTTGGGGACTTATCAGTCAGCCTTCCCTCCTTTAACCTCAGAGAGATGTCAGGAGATGCAGTGGAGGGAGGCCTGGACCCCTGAGCCAGGCAGAGCAGCTCTGCCACGCGGGGGAGCGTGACTGACTTGAGGATTTCTACATTAGAGAAGAATCAAGTCTTAGCTCATTGAGGGGAACTTACAGCTAAACACACAAGGGGCATAGGTGGGGCCAAACGGAATAAGGCTACTTCTGGAATGTTCTCCCGCTTCCCCTTGAATTGCTTTTGTCTCAGGTGCTACTTTGTCTATGACCGTCCATGAAGGCTGGGCTCAGGTAGACCGAGGCCTGCCAGGGCAGTTGTGCAAGACAGATCATTTCCTGTGGGACCTGCTCTTGGAGGCACGCTTTGGGGGCTGCTAGGGAGCCAGGGTGTGCGGTGGGTAAGGGCAGTGGGTACCTTTACATGTACCCGGGTCTTCTTCCTTTGAGAGGAGCTGGAGCCACTGGCCTTGCAGGAGTTCTCTGTCCCAGGGGCAATACTCCCCTTCTACAGCAGGGGGAGTCAGACACCCACAAACAGCACCAAGAAGCCCGCGTGGGGATAAAGAATGGAGGGAAGAGAACAGAAAGGAGAGTTATCTTGGCTGCAAGGCAGTCTCATCCTGCCGCTGTCTACATGGGCTTGGAGCCCAAAGACACACACACCACGGGCCAGGAACAAAGGCCCAGAGCTTGGCCAAACTTGTCAGTACATTTCTCTAGTTAAAATCTGTCCCCTAGAGGTTTGGTCTCGATATCAGTTCCAGGTCTAGGAAATGAAGTCTGTATGAGGGAAGCAGGGCCAACCTCCTGAAAAGGGAACAGGCTTTGGCCCTCAGCTGTGCTGGGGCTAACACCACGGAGCCTTCATCCGCAGATGAGACAGTTTCCAACAAATGCCTCTGCCCAGATGCGCTGTGGACAGGATCGCCTGACAAGCGGGATGCTGAGGCAGCCCTGGGCGGGTCAGGGTGCTGCAGACACAGCAGCATGAAGCAGATACCAGCACCCACTGCCCTGCCCAATGCCAGCACCTCTAGGGCCAGACCTCGCTCAGGTGAGTGAGGAGGTAGGGGCGGGTCTCTACACTGTGGGTCTCACTCTGGCCTCATCTACACAGGACAACCAGCTCTAAAGAAGCCCCTTAGGGGCTTGAGGATGCGCCTGCCCTGACCACTCCCACTGCCACTGGCTCCTGGGTTGCTCTCCTGCCCGCCCCGCCGCACAGGCCGTAGTCTGTGGGCTTCAGCTTCTGGAGGACAGGCCAGCAGCGTGCACCTTCGTTGGGAAGGACTCTGCATCCGGGCAGCCCCAGCATCTTGCTGTGCCAGAGAAAACAGACCCTGGGGTGGGCCTCGGCGGCTGAACATGTAAATTTCCAGGAAAAGCAGAGAAAAGCATGAAAAGCAGCAGAATCAAGTCTCTGAGGCCCAGAACTCCGGCATTCCATCTGCTCCTCTGACAAGGGAGGAGGGAACTGGGGCTCATGGGGGCTTATGAGGCCCCCATTCTTTTCTTGCACACATGCCCCCTGGAGGGAGCTCCCATCGGGGTGTCAGGGCACCATCCCCAGGGCAAGTCACAACCACCAGGTCTGCGTGCTTCCTCACCTCCCACCCGACTCCTGGGCAGCCAGGACAGGGAGACAGTGAGGCGCGTCCAGAGGCGGGGAGGGGGCTCAGCAAGTTCTTCCTTGTGACTCAAGGTCTCACAGAACCAGACACAGGGCCAGGAGGGAAACGTCTCGAGGCAAGGCAAGGAAAGTTCCAGAGACAAGTGCACCAACTTGACACAGGGGCTACGGGGCATCTCCTCAGGACGGGGTGCACACGGGCTGCTGTGGAGCACGACTGGACCCCGGGGTCAGCTCTGAGCTGACAGAGATCCCAGGAGCCGGGACTCCTCCAGAAAGTCACACTCTCTTTCATTGCTAAAATCGGTTTCTTCAAAGGAAAGGAAAGGGGAAAGAAGGGAGAGCGAGGAGAGGGCCCCGAGTGACCCGACTCGATAGCGTCCCCCCACCAGCCTCTGCCCCCCGCTTCCAGGCTCTGCTCAGAAGCGCGAGGGACACCGTCTCCACCGCTGAGGGCGGAAGGTCGGAGGCCGCAGGGGCCACCACGGGGCCGTGGGGGGCACGTCCACGTCACCCCGGCCACAGCACCTCGTGCACTCGGGGCCGGGCCGGGCAGGGTTGTGGGGGGGGCTGTTTCCTGACCTTCACTGGACTCCTCCTCCTCCTCCTCCTCGTACTCCTCCTCTTCATACTCCTCCTCCTCCTCTTCATACTCCTCCTCCTCCTCCGCGCCCCCGGGCTGGTAGCTCTTGGAGGCCTCGAGCTCCTCTTCGCTCTTCCCTTTCAGGAGCGCGTGGATCCGCACGGCCTCCTTCCAGGGCACGCCGCCCAGGTCGGAGGTGGGCAGCGGCGGCTCGTCGTCTTCCTCCTCCTCGTCCATCTCGGACTCCGAGCTGCTGCGGGGAAGCAGGCACACCCCGAAGTGAGGGGTGAGGGAGGCTGCGGCGGCGGACGGCCCAGCGGCGTGGTGTGGGGGGAGGGCCAGCCACGCCAGGAAGACCAGCACCTTAGGGCGGGGGCTTTGGGCCAACAGGTGTCAGTTTACCTGGACAGAGGCTGACCAACACCATGTGGTGATCAAGCACTCAACCAATGCCAATGAGAACTCTGGCCCCCAAGGCTTGGCTGGGCGGCACTGCACAGTGCCTGCGCTTGGCCTGTGGGGAGCACTGTCAGGGGGCAGGGCCCAGGGCCCAGGACACAGCGCAGTCCGGGGAAGGCTGACCTAGATCCAGCCGTCTCACCAGCGTACCATTACAGACGCAAAATCAGATGCCTTCTATGAGGAGAGCTGACCTTGGTGCCCAGATCTCCTGGCCCTCCCTAAGACAGGTGCATTTATCGCATCAGCTAGGATGACTGATGCCAGAGTCTTCTGGCCTGCTTCCTCACACTCGGCTGTAAACGCTAAGCTTGAGCCCTCCCGGGACGCCCTGCCCACATCATGCCCACATCATGTCCACTTGCTGCTCTGCTACCCATCAGCTTGCAGATGACAGTGGAGGAAAAGCTCTTACTACAGAGACTCCCTGCAGTCCCCCTGAGGTCAAGGTCTGACGACAGGCTCTCCAGCCCCCACCCCACCCTCGTGCCCACAGCAGGAGCAGAGCATCTCCCGGGGTGCCCAGGATGGAGACGCAGCTACGTGACAGTGACTGCATCGAGAGATGGCCGCAGAGAGGCAGGCACCATGGAGGCTGCCCCGGAGCATGTCTGGTACCAAGCTGACGTGGGGCGCACAGCAAGAGTGGCCTTGCTTAATAAACACCCACTGAAAAACACACTCAAAACTGAACTTGAAAGTTCTGTGTTCTTCATCCCCACACATCTCTTTACTCGTGCGAAGAAGTGTCCTGTGACTAATTCTTATGCTCACACTGTTGATCCCTACTTGGCAGGGCCATTGCTCCCACCCCAGAAGGCCAGCGGGAAGTCTGGCCAATGCTGATGTCATCCCGCCTTTTTTAGCTTCTCCTTCCTTATGGCGCCCTTGATAATCTCCTGAGCGCACTGAATCCTTTTCTCCAGACGCAGGCAGGCCCGGGCAGGTAATGAAAGGGAACTCCAGGGTAAGACAGCAGAGCCAGGAAGAGCTGCAGGGCTGGTGCGTGCTGTGCGGCCCAGGGACACCGCGTCCTGCTCCTCTCTCTACACACAGTCTGGAGAGGTGAACCCCGGCAGCCAGCGACCTGGTGGCTGAGACAGGAACCCCTGATTCCAACCCTGGGGCTCCTTCCCCTGAACCAGCTGCCCCCCCAGCACTGCGGCTCCAGGACTATTTCCTCCAGTACATTTGTAAATAACAACCCAAGGACAGAACCTGTGGCTTATTTTTCTGTTAGGAGAAGTGAAGAGCAAGTGCTCAGTGCAGAGGGGTCAGTGAATACTGAGCCTGAGTGAAGTCAAACGGACGGTGGTGCTGACTGGCCAGGAGATGAGGCACCTCAATGGGACGGGGGAGCGGCTCTGGGGCTGCAGGGAAACGAGAAGCTTCCTGGGCTGGGCTGGGCAACTGGACTTGGGGTCCATCCTCGCTCCTCGTCTTAGTCCCCACAGTTTCCTTATTTCGGAGGGGCGAGATATGAGCTTGTCTACTTTACAGGTGGAGGATAAAGGAATGAATCAGGCTTTTTGAGTCACTGGCCTCTGTGGCTAGCCTCTGCGGCCTTGATCATGTTAATACAGGAGGCGCTTGGGAGTGTGGGCGTGGGCACGTGGGCCTGACTGTGGACTCCTGGAGCCTGGGTGTGCGCATGTGCAAGTGTGCACGCCTGAGCCTAGAGGCAGAGATAAAAGCTGCAGCAGCAGCAGCAGTGGGAGGACAAATGGCGTGACCACAGGAGAGGCCAGGCCACAAGACGACACAAAAGAGAGAAGGCCAGAGAGCTCAGAGAGAGCGTCAAGATTTGTGGGGGGCCTCCCTGGTGGTGCAAGGGGTTAAGTCTCAGTGCTATCAAGCTGTCCAAAGCCACTGCAGCACAAGTTTGATCCCCAATCAGGGAGCTGACTCACATGACGCGGCAGACCTTTCCTGACTCGCCCGCTGCTCCCCTCAGCAGTGTATTTCAGTCGATCTGCCTGTTCTGCTCCCCACTTTGTCTCCTGTGAATCCTCTCACCCCTCCCACACCTCTGGCCTGTACCCTAGTTCTTGTATGCATAAATAAATAAATCTTCAAAAAAACATAGATTCATGGGGGTGCTGGGAGGCTTGGTTGCTGCTCACCTGCCCGCCTGGCCCGTGCCTGCCTCCTTGCATGCTGGCCTCCCTGCCTGGTGTGCTGTGGACCTGGTTACCTGAGAGCATTAAGGCCTGAAAAATCCACTGAGGGCCCTGGGACTCTTTTTATCCATCTGTTCGAATCGAAAGTGAACCTGCCCTGTGCTGGCTCTAGAACAGGATCCCCAAGGGCAGGATCAAGTGAGGCGATGGACGAGAGCTCCGTCATAGACCAGCTCCTTGCAAAGCGACAGTACAGGCAGAGCACCTGTGAGCGCCGGGGTGCCCAGTCTCCCTGTGGAATCGACCCTCCCGCCCACTCTGAGGAAGGCAAAGCATGACCTCACTTCAAAGGAGAGAAGATGGAGGGAAAGAGGTTGTGTCTTGTCTAGGGTCAGGCCCAGCTGTTAACCGGGCGCCACGCTGCCTTCCGCTGGCGGATTCATCAGGGACGGGGAGAGGCTGCAGAGTAAGCCGCCGGCACGCTGCCGCTCTCAGGGAGGCTGGGGGTGAGGGTGGGGCATGCACAGCCCGCACGCTGGCTGACCTGCTGCCCACGTCCTCCTCTGTGCCCTTGTCCAGCACGCTGCTCAGGTTGTGCTCGGCCTGCGTCTCCTCGGGCACCTCCTCCAGTTCCTCGGCCTGCTTCACAGACAGGCGGTAGTTCTCCAGCTCGATCCTCTCTGGGGTGCCCCTCAGCCGCTTGGCGATGCTGGGCTCCTCCAGGCCATTCACACTCGAACCTGCAAGATCAAGAAGCGAAGTTCCGATGACAAACGAGGGGATGCAGCGCGAGCTGCGGGGTCCACGGAGCTGGTGCGGAGTGGGGGTGCCCAGACAGCAAGCAGGAGCCAGGTCGCCAAGGCAGTCAGTGCTCACTTCAGTAAAAGGTGGAGCCCCCTCTGCACCCACCATCAGAGGTCCTGGGTTTCGTGGAAGCCAGGAGAGGCCCTGGGGTGACAGTAGCAAACGAACTTTCCCCCTTTCACTTTCTCTACTAAAGATGCTTTATTTGACTAGCACCTTCCCTTGGTCTCCCCCTTCTAGAACAGTTTCCCCCTGGCTCTCCTTATTGCTACTATTCCTTTTGATGTACCTTTTTGTCCCAATTTGGACAGAGGAGGCCTATCACTTACTCTTTCATGTAACGTGACGCAGCACACAGGTAGGCCAGCACCGCCCTGTGCCAGTGGCCGGCTGAAAGGTCTTGGCAAAATCACATAAGGTCTGAGAACCAATTTCCTGAGCTGTGAGGACAATTCCCATCTCCCAGGGCTGGTTATTATGAACAGGGAAAGGACTTATATACCTTTACAGTCACCCAGAGAAGGGGTGCTCTGGGCCATGAAAACCGGGGAGACAGAGTATCTCCCCAGAGCTTTGTGAATATCGAGGGGGAAGGAGAACCCTCACTATCTGGTCCGACCGTGCCCATCCGTCCACACGGGAAAGCGCTGCAGGCTCTTCCCTGAGGGCGCGTCCCCACAGAGTCCAGTTTTCCCAAAGGGAACTTGTACTCAGAGGACACTTGGCCAAGTACCGCAAACTCATCAACCACCATTATAGGCTTAGATTCTTAGCCCACACCTCAAGCGCCATGGGAAACTAAAAAAAAAAAATCTGCAACCTCAAGGCTGTCCTGAGCAAGGGCTATTTATTTGCCTGATTAGTCAGACGGTTAAGATAAACTAAGATATCAAAAGAAGCAAGAGTGGAGGAGCCCTAGGCAGTGGCTACCACACCCCAACAGACACAGAACCTCCCTCTCTCATCAACTACTGGAACGGTCCAGAGGAGACTGTATGAGAGCAGATATAAAAATAACTGGCACAGGCTGATTTGGAAAGTCAAGGTACAAGCAGTGGGGTCAGGCCAGCTGCCCCAGCCCCACCTGGCCCCTCCACCTCACGTGCTCAGAGCAACAGCAGCCGCATAGGGGCTGTCCGGCTGAAGTCCTTTCTAAGGCTGATTCTTCACTAAGTCAGGGCAGGCAGATGTCAGGTCATTGGAGGCTCTTCCAGCTTCACACATACCAAAAGGAAAAAACTCCCAGGATCTGGGTCACATCCTAAATAGGAAAAAAGGCTCTGGGCCTGACCTAAGGTTCTGCTTTGGAACAGTCACTGCCTGTCTGAGCTCCAGACATCGTCTGATCAGGACAACCTGCTCTCTGCTGATGTGCAGGAACTGCCAAAAGCCTTTACTTGTATTTGCCTGATTCCTAAAGAGACATGAGGGGTATGGATGATCCAAGAGGCTGGGCCTTCCTGGCTCCCAGCAGGCGCTGCTTGTCCCTCTTCCCTTCCTGCTGTGGTAACAAAGCCCCAAGACTAGGTGGGGTGAGCTGCTGAGGACACTTTAGGACTCTGGGCAAATGTGAAGGGTCTCACATAAGAGAGCAGGACACCTGAGGGCCACTCCTTCTGCCCGTATTCATTTCTGGCCTGTTTTCCTATTCTGTTGCCCCGTCCTCCTTTATAAGCCTGGGCAAGCTTGAATGAAGTCTGGAAGTCTGACACGGCCATAGGGAGAGGTACAGTGGGCTGCATTGGTTTCCCTATTTACCAGATCCATAGTAGGATGCCTTAAACCATATTATGAAATTTTTATTTCTAGTCAGGCCCTGCTCTGCTCCCATGAGCAAAACAGGCAAGAGTTCTGTCCTGGGGTGCTGCGTTTTTGATGGACTATGGGTGTCACTTGCTGGGAGAGATCCAAGAACCAGGATGTCAAAAGGTGTCACCCGTGGCCATGTTCTAACAGGTAACAGCCCTCTGATCTGAAGTGACTGGCACCACTGGGGAGAAACACACGCTGGCCATTCTGGAGCATAGCTTCTCTCTGAGGACCGTCCTCTCTTACTTTGGTTTCCCTTGTCAAAGGTTTTGTTTTTTTTTTTTTAATTGTTTCTCTCTAAAGAAAGATTAGCCATGTGTGTCATGATCTCATGCTAAGGAAAGTGCCAAGTCAGAACAGATTTGAGCTACAAGGTCTCAGGGGAAATGCTAAGGAAGATGAATGCTCCTACAGAAAGACCCAGGCTGACAGCACAAAGCGACATGCCAGAGACAAGGCAAGGGGTGTTGGTCAAGGTGGCTTTTGGGCTGGCTGATTCACCGCCCCCATTCACCGCCCCTGGAAATCAGGGTGCCCCTCCTCAAGTTTTACAAGGCCATAGGGGTATATTGGGGGGGAAATCAATGTCTTAATTTTGTTTGGAAATGAAACAGCTACCACTCGCAAACTCACTTGTATACTGGGAAATACGGATGAAACCATTTGAGTAAGTGGCTGTTCTGAAACAGAACCACTGTCTGGCTTGAGCTGGTTTTGTCTGTGGGACGAGGACTGGTTCTTGGGGTCTGCTCCCACTTGCCATATATTAGTCTGTAGTTGGACCCCAGGGACTTGAGCTGGGGCAGGCATAAGACTATAAAGAATCAGCTTGGAAATTAGTTCTCTCCTTCCATCTTGCTTTGAGCCAAGGTTACTATGTGGGCTGTTGCTCAGCTGTCTCAAAGGTGGGCAGGGCAAACCCCATCCAAGTTGAGAGCCATCTTGGCTTAAAACCTGGAATAACAGAATGAGTCACTCTGCCTTGGGGATTTCATCATGTCGCTAATCAAGCTGATGCAGTGTCTGTGGGAGCAGGGCTTTGCCTGTGCCTATGAGTAGGAGGTCACTCCCAGTTCAGAACCAATCCAGGGAGTTTGACTTACCACAACCTAGTTAAAAGGCCCTATAGTTTACAAAGGCCTTGCTCTGATTATTATAAGTTTCCTGGAACCACCAATTTGGGTACTTCTTGTTTTCAGGCCCTCGGTTCACTTGCCCCGGCAGACTCTGACGGGCTCCCATATGTGTGCCTTTCAGCCACGTCTTACTCCAGGAGGGTACCGCACTGCAGCTGTGCATGGAGAGGGATCCCCTTGCTTTGGAGGGCAAAGGAAGAAGTTTCTGAGGCACTGCTATGGCAAGCATATCTACGTTCCAGAGACTCTTCGGGACTTCCTCCTCGGAGGGAGTAGGGATTCCAATTTTTCAACCCGACAAGGACAGGGACACTGTGCAGACTGGGGTGATGTCAAGGGTGCTGAGGGTACCTGCCTTCCCTGGCTGTTTGGGGTTATGAGGGGCTCTGACATCACCACAGCCCTTTGTTCTTAACCTGCATGGTCCCATGGAACTTTGCCTGTAAGTTATTTTCCTAAGGTTATGATGTCTCCCAAAGGTACATTTTTGACAGATGGAAGTCATGGCACACAGCACTGTATCTGGCCAAGGCCAAGAGGTTTCTTTTAAAGTACACACTGTCCACTAAAAACGATCTTGCCGGTGAGTCCACATCGCTCTCCTGATTACGTATTTTTCATATGTTGTAGTATCTCACCAATAAAACTCAGCTGATCCTGAACACTCGGCTGAGCCATCTGAGCAAATGGCCCCCTCTCTGGTGTCGGGAAGCCGTGGGCATGTCTAAAGCCCCTGGAGATTGGTGGTGTCTTCTCTTAAATTCCATGATCTGGGCTCTCCTTTCTTCTCTGGCTGCCTACCTTCACGCAACTGAGGGTGAGATCTCAGGAAGGGGCAGTTGCGCAATGTGCAATGTGGCTCGGGCTAACAGTATTATCAGGTCATAAATGTGCCTCACAAACCAGGAGATCCTGTAATTCATCTGTGTCTATGTCATCTATCAAATCAGTCCAATTGTGGAGCTGATCTTTGGATTGCAAGAACAGGAACAGAGAACAGCAGGTGGACAAGGTAAGCCAGACCAGCCCTTCTCTCCCACTTCTGCCTCCTGCTCTCCAATTTTACCTGTTGGCTCTACTTCTGGACTCTCTTTGAGCCTGATCTGGAAAAAACATGGTGCTAAGTGGCCCTCGAAGGCTGACAGGACAAGAGCACTGAGCCAGCCTCGCGAGGGGCCTTTCTAGTGCGTGATGCCACAGCATCAGCAGCCTGGGGCGGCTCCTGTTCTCTGGTAACCCTCAGACCAAGACGATGCGCTGGAGGGGAGAACCAAAAGAGGAAATCAGCCCCCTCTCCTGCAAATGAGGCAGCACTGAAGCCTTTGGGAGTGGGGGTTGTGGGTAAAACCAGCACAGAGGTTACAGGTGTTAGCCCTCGCTCTGCCCAAGACAAAGCTAACCTGCTCCTGCCCGGTCCTGGTGCTCAGCGAGGTGCTGAAAATTTAGCCCAGTCTGAACTCTATGATGATTGTCCTTCCCTCTGTTACTATAGTGAAGAGCCCCCAGGGTGTCATGGAATTAGTAGGTGACTTCACATCTCATCCATGCAGGATGAGGAAAAAGCAATGCCAAATTTAGCCAAGCACTTGCAGAGAGATAACAGTGCTTCAGAAGAGCTGGCACGGCCTGTAGGTCCACTCCCCCGAGCCCATTCTGCTGTAGACCAGCGAGCCAAGCCCTTCTTACTGTTCCCCAATTCTCTGCTGGGTAGCAACACACCCCACTGGCCATCCTGCCCTGACCCCACAGGAGGTACAGACCAGAGAGAAGATCAGCAAGGTTGTGAAATAGTCCTGGCTCACTCTTTCACTCTAATTATTCTAGCATTTTCAATCCCTACCAATGATGATCACATTTGATATTCTTATACTGCTTTTAAACCAACAAACTTCCATACATTTTCACCTATCAACTCTGGACAACAACTTTACGAGATAGAGAGTAACGAGCAGCTTTTTTTCCTTTTTATAATTTTATAAGATGAGGAATCA